GAATCACAAGCCATGTGGAATGTGAGATACTTTGAAGACCATGCGGGTTCATTCCATCCGTAGATAATGCCAAGCGAAGGTTTCTTGTTTCTCCTCCAAAATTAGGATAATCATTATCAATTTTCTTCCACTGTGGTGCATCTGCCGGATGTCGAAACTTTCGATCGATAATTCTTTCATCTGCATGCCAAGTCAAGTGTCTAGCATCGGTTTCACTACGAAACATGCCTCTAAATCTCGGAATAATAGGAAAATACCATAAGACTTTCGCTGGAGATAATTTTTTCTTATATCGAGATAAACCGCACTTTGGGCACTCATTCAACGATGCATATTCGTTTCGAAACAAAATACAATCATTTACACATGCATGTATCTTATCATAGCTCATGCCAATAGAGCACAACATTTTTTTGGCCTCGTAGGTTCGATTAGGAAGAACATTATCCTCAGGAAGCATATCTCTCAAAAGGGTTAATAACTGTGTGAAAATTTTATCCGACCATCCATTGCGCGCCTTTAAGTTGTACAATTTTAATACCGCAGACAATCTTGTGAATTTGGGGCAATCTTTATACAACGGTTTCTCCGCATCGCTTACCAACCTCTCAAACATTTTAGGACAATTTTGAAGATCTTCTTCAAGTGCTTCTACAATCTCTTCGACTCGATCACAATCATATGTATCTGTGGCATTGTCGTATGAAACATAGGTCGCATTACTTTTCACCCCCGGTTCAACATTCTCGATGCTTTTCTCACCATGAAATATCCAACACGTATAACTTCGATCAATTCCGCACATTAGTAAATGCGATTTCAATCCATCTGCGTCAACCCGACCCACATAACAACAACCCAAGCAAGGACATTTCATTCTATTCGGGTCTTCAACGTGTTCAACAGTAAACTTAACGAACTCTAATACCCCATTCTCGTACTCTTTTGACAATCGATCGGCACACATCCATTTTTTATCCATGGTTTTAACTATTATCTAAGTTAAACAAAAACACTAATTAGGGCACAAAACGGTATAATGTGTTTCTGTCAAAACACAAAGTATACACGGATTTAAAATAAATTTGAGTTCTAAAAAATCAATTCGGAGAAAATATAAAAATTGATCTAAAGTTCCAACATAACTAAGGAATACCATATCATAAGTAAGGGTAGTTAATTACGGTTCGGTTCAGCAAGTTATGGTATGGTTAACTATGGTTTCAGTTCGGTTATTGAACTGTTTGATGACATGTGGTTCGGTTCATAAACCATGAATAATGGTTCGGTTATTTAAAAATGGTTCAGTTCGGTTCTGTGGTTCAGTTCAATTCTGTGGATTTTTTGAACACCCCTAATTATGATTTATTTTTTCTTCACATTATCAATACCATAACCACAAGTTCACGAATCTCACTACATATTATTTGGTTGCTAGTAATTGCTATTTAGTTAGCAGGTGATAGACAAGTTTAAAAAAATAATATGTTTTTATAAACATATTAAAATTGCACAATAAATAATCACATGTTACAAAATTGAACTAGTTTTGTTTTTTACCATAGAGGTTTACTATAGTAATACAAAACTTGGAAGCAAAGAAATAGAAAGAGCAAGAGTTTCTCACCGTAGTGCCTGCAACCAGAAAAATTGCACTAGATAAGGTTCCTGTTAATGTAAAAAAAACATGAATAAGTTAAATTCACACACAAAAGCACTTATTTACAAAAGCACTGACATTCTTGAGATTCTTGAAAGCACTTATTCACAAAAGAGTGCGTTATCCCCCAAACAAAAGCACTTATTCACAAAAGCATTGTTTCCTTCCTACCCAGCTCTAGCTAGTATCATGACCACCCACATTTTTATTCAATAGAAAAGAACAACTTAATAATGTAAAAGTGCATAATTGGTGTTATCGGAACTGACCTGTTGTTGTTATTGGAACACCAGAGAGAGTTGCTTCTGCGCGGAGGAAGAACCACCAAAGTACGGTTGGACAGTGAGGAGACGAGTTGGAGAAGAGTTGGAGGAAGAACCACGGTTGGACGGTGAATGGGAGGAGACGAGTTGGAGAAGAAGATGAACAGGAGTGATTTCTGGGTGTGGGGTTTCGTTTGTACGATTTGGGATTTCTGGAAATCTGATAACCAATTTAGGGATTAAGACACTATTTAATTACCTTAGACAGCGCTTTCAAGAAGCACTGCTAAAGGTATTACCTTTAGCAACGCTTTAGGCTTTAGCAACGCTTCCTAGAATAACACCTTTAGCAGCGCTTTTAGTAAGCGATGTCTAAAGTCTAACCTTTAGACAGCGCTTATTCTAATTTTTTAATTTTTTTTACTGAAAACCTATAGCAGCGCTTAGGGAAAGAAAACGATGTCTATGGTAAGGCTTATAGTAGCGCTTATAATAAGCGTTGTCTATAGTATACCTTTAGCAGCGTTTCTCCTTTAATTTTTAATTATTAATTTTTCTGAAAACCTATAGCAGCACTTTAGGCATAAGCGTTGCCTATGTGGCGCTGTCTAAAGTCAATTTTGGCATAATGGAAACAGTGACGAAATAATTCGCAGTCTGGGGTTATTTCAAAATTATATATATTAGTTTTTACATCGGTGCAAGCATTGGACCGATGTAAGGGTTCGTAGGCTTATATTTTTTACATCGGTGCAAGCAGTGGACCGATGTAGCAATTTCAATTTGAGCTTTTTTACATCGGTTTAACGAAAGGACCGATATAAGGTTTTAGATGTTTTTTACATCGGTGGAATAAATGGCCCGATGTAAGGGTTAGCCTATTTTTTATATTACCAATCTGCCACGAACTTTTTTACATCGGTGGATTGCAGGAACCGATGTAATATCTGGCGTGTTTTTTATTTACAATTCGGCCACCTGGTTTGTTATTTACAAAATTGTCACTGTGTTTTTTTCACGAAACCTTTTACATCGGCGGATTAAATGGTCCGATGTAATAGATAGCGAAAAATATTTTTTTAAATATTTTTTATATCATTGTAAATAAATACCCGATGTAAAATGTTTTTAATTTTATTTTTTATATTGTATATTTTTATACCTGATGTAAAAACTTTTTTTCAAATGTTATTTTTTTAGTAGTGGTCGAAACCCCTCTTAACGTAGCATTTTGAAAATATTTTTGGCTTAAATGCAGTTTTGACCCCCCTAGTTTAAGGTTTTTGGAGTTTCGATCCCCCTAGTTTAAAAGCCAGGTTTCTAGTCCCCAAAGTTTTCAAATTTGGGATTTTTGAAGCCCCCCTCCATCTGGCTGCCCAAAAAGTGACATGGCACAGGGAGAGTAATGCCACGTATTATTTTCTTATTTCTTATTTAGAATAATATTTTTTAAACATTTAAATAAGTGATATTAATTTCCAAATGAATTTTTAATTTCATAATTCATATTTTCTGAAAATCCCAAATTGCTTAACCTAATTTCCTCTTCCATCCTTGCTTCTGGTCATCTACAACCTTCTTTCTTGGTACGACCTCCATCTACCTTCTATTCCATCTACCTTCTCTTCCTTCCTGCAAGCATCCAACATGTCTCAAAAATCCGTGTCGAATCCGAGCTACAGGAATCGTTCTGTTATACATGAATGCCATTGTGGTATCGATGCTCCGTTGATGACGGCTTGGACCGATTCAAACCCAGGACGACGCTTTTTCGGATGTGGGATGTACAAGGTATGATATTCTTCAATTACAAAATTTGCTCCTCAGAATTGAGTATAGACTGAATATTTTGTGACCTCCATTGTTGCAGGTTCAAGGTTTCAAGAAGTGCAGTGATTTTGTTTGGTTGGATGAGGAAATGAATCCTAGGGCAAAGGAAGTGATTGGGAACTTACTCCACAACTTGAATGAAGAAAAGTAGAGGGTTAAAGAGTCAATGGTAAAAGAAGAAGAAACAAGGATGAAGATCAAATTTTTAAAGAAACAGTTGAAGTTTAATTGGTTCATAACCATCTTTGTGTTGGTTGCATTTGTTGCAACAATAATAATGAAATGATGTAGGTTTATTAGTATTGGAGGTTCATTGTTGTCTGTAGGAGGTTCTTTGTGTTGGTTGAAATGATCTAGGTTTATTAGTATTGGAGGTTTATTTGTATTGTTGTGTGTATGTTTATTAATGTTGGAGTTTCTATGTTGTTTAGTTTGTAATGATGTTTGAGGTGTATAACTACTCATGGTTTATAATGAAATGATGATGTTTGAGGTTTATAAATTGCAATTGCACTTGAATTTGTTTCATTATGTAGACCATTAAGTATAACTTCTCAGTGTAATAATGAAACATTATGTAGGCCATTACAAATGCAGAAAAAATGGTCTACCTAAATACAGAAAAAATGCAGAATTTTTCAAAATGCAGATGCAGAATTATTATACCTAAATTATACCTAAATGCAGATGCAGAATTATAACTAATTAAACACAGAATTTTGTTGCAGAATTATACCAAATGCAGAATTATACCAAATGCAGAATTTTGTTGCAACACAGAATTATACCAAATGCAGAATTATTAAACACAGAATTTTGTTGCAACACTGAATTTTTTCCAAACGCAGATGCAGATACCAAATGCAGAATTATTAAACACAGAATTTTGTTGCAATACAGAATTTTTTGCAACACGGAATTTTTTGAGCAGTTTGTGGCAACACAGAATTTTTTGAGCAGTTTGTGGCAACACAGAATTTTTTAAACACAGAATTTTGCAGAATTATTCAACACAGTTTGTTGCATACTTGAGCAGCCAAGACAGTTTGTAGCAGAGTGTGTACCAAATTCATGATTGTACCAAAACATATCCATTACAAGATACATATCCATTACAACATATCCATTACAAAATATTCATTACAAAATATAACCATACTAAAGATATCCATTATAACCATACTAAAGATTTCCACTAATACATCAAGTTTCATTCCAAAAAAAAGCAACATCATTCATAATTACTTCTACTCTTGACTAGGCTGAGGTGCTTGAGATCCCTGACCAATCTCAATCTGTTTTTCTGCATCTTTAGTCTTGTTAGTCTTCTTTGCCTTCTTGGTTGTCTTTGTTTGCTTGGTCTTCTTATTGCCTCCTTTTGGTATCTGCCTATCAGCTGCCCTCTTGCCCTTACAAGTCCTACTGTTGTGTCCAGTTTGTCCACATTTATTGCAAGTGACAGTTGAAAAGCTTCTTGAAAGCACATGGGAGTTCTTTGGCTCATCACCTGTTTTAATTCTCATCTTTTTTGGACGTCCAATTGCTCTTCTCATGACAGGAGGACACATAGGCACATGATCAACATCAGTCCATAATTGTGGTCCATTGGTTGGCATGACAATATTAGCATAGCATTTCTCAAATGTAACTTTGCTGCAAAACAGAAATAATGTTACACATGCAAGAGTTAATAGAACATATCATAAACAGGACATAGAAATATGTTACATAACATGTGACTCACAAACCTATAATATGGAGAGACATATGCTTCTGGTTTTTTTCTTATGTTCCAAATGCAGGAGATAACATGACAACATGGGATTCCAGACAACTCCCATTTTCTGCAGCTGCATGATTCATTCTTCAGATTTACACAATATGTCTCAGTTCCATTGGTAACTCCAAAGATTGAGAGATCATCATCACTATGCCAAGTTGGGGTCCAGTCTTGTGCTTCCCTTTTGTGCTTCTCAATTAGCAATTGGATTCTAGGACAGATTACTCCTTCATATCCCTGCAATAATCCCTTTTGTTTAGTTATCCTTTTAGTGATATAATGTTTGATTCCTTCCAATAAGGTTATGTGTGAAGGTAGTATGTAGTAGGAGTGTGATGGTTGAAGCTGGTACCACAGAAGGAAGACGAAGATGGAGTGTTGGAGGTCGTACCAAGAAGGAGGGTTGAAGATGATCAGAAGAAATCTCGTACGGGCGGATGGAAGAGGAAATTAGGTTAAGCAATTTGGGATTTTCAGAAAATATGAATTATGAAATTAAAAATTCATTTGGAAATTAATATCACTTATTTAAATGTTTAAAAAATATTATTCTAAATAAGAAATAAGAAAATAATACGTGGCATTACTCTCCCTGTGCCATGTCACTTTTTGGGCAGCCAGATGGAGGGGGCTTCAAAAATCCCAAATTTGAAAACTTTAGGGACTAGAAACCTGACTTTTAAACTAGGGGGATCTAAACTCCAAAAACATTAAACTAGGGGGGTCAAAACTGCATTTAAGCCAATATTTTTTTAAGATAAAGCATTTTGGGAATTATGATTCATAGAAGTGGCAATTTGGAAAAAAATTCTAAATCTTACATGAAAAAATTAAATAAACACTCGTAAAAGAAATTATTTTTATATATCTATGATGAAATGCATAAGAATAGAAGAGTAAATCGACCAACTTATAAACGTGAATTGAAATAGCTGAAATAATTGAAATTTGAGATAAAACTATAACCTTTTTGTTCATTGCGTCTTTTTTTATTTGTTTTCGTTTTAACTCTTCTATAACCTGAAATGACAAAGATGAACACTAATCAACTGCAATGGTTGAAGGGATGAGACATAAAAGATGCACATGTCAAATTGTTAGTTAAATAACTGTGGTTTTACCCAACTATAAAACCAACTAATCTGTTTTAATTTTTATTTTTACACAGTCAAATCAAACATTGTTATAAGCCTTTTTACATTATAAAAATCAAAACAGAAAATATTAGCATTAAACTTCAGAAGAAATACCTTATAAGATTTAATCAAAGAAATCACAGTTGATATAAAACCACATGGTAGATACAGATCAAAATAATCGTATGCCATCCTCTTAGCTAATCTTGACCAATTCACTGTACAGAGAAAAACAATCATATGTTATGGATAAATTTCCTCGAATCTATTCTTTGGAATGGTTCTCTGGTTGAGCCTAGTTGTGTTTCCTTGAGACACTCACTTATTCATTTTAATATGTGGTTGGTGAAAGTGTATTATTGGTAAGTGGTTGGTTGGCTGGTACTGTTTGAATTTATTGGAAGTAATGTTTTTCTCTAGGTAGCAATAACCTTATAAATGTTTTTTTTAATACCAGAATAATACAATGACAGTGTTAAAGAAAGGAAGTTGAAAGGACCCTACTCCCTAGTGTCTCTGTCTGTGATATTTACACAGCAATGAAGTCAAAAAGAAATCACGTATTATCCGGGATAAAGGATACTCTCACACGGTAAGATTGGCATATGACCAATCTTGACCCTTCATCACTCACATGGATCCTTACTAGTCTTATTCAGCCAATTAAAATCCGAAAAGTGGCACTGTCACATACTGCAAAACCAACCTGCCAACTTGTACTCTAACATTTACCCTTCTAGCTTTTGCCCTTAAACAATGCTCAATTGAAAAAATAAAATTTCTCTTACTTTATTAATATTAAAATATATATATATATATATATATATATATATATATATATATATATATATATATATATATATATATATATATATATATATATATATATATATATATATATATATATATATATATATATATATATATATATATAATTTGTTAAATTATATCATTTTTAGGTGTAAATTAAAACAATTTTAAACTTAAAATATATATAATTGTGTTAAATATTCTGTTTATACAAAAAATGGACCATATTAAAACAAATTATTAATTAAATTATTTTTTTATATTTATGATAGTGTATAATATATATTGGTTCATCTTAATGATTAATGCTTAAATGTATGTTTGGTTTTAATTTTATAAATGGTAAAAATATTTTTAGAGTGCAGAATTGATTTTGCAATAATTTTAATATGTTTGATTCCGTTAAAGTAGTATTGATTATGTCTTTAGAATTGATTCTATTTGAAGTTAGAATTTGTAGTTTCTACCTCTAGAATTGATTTTGAATGATTTTTATATATACTAAAATTTATTGTTTAACCAATTTTTACGTAAACGTATTCAAACATAAATTAATTATACTAAATTCAATTATGTTAAAATCAATTCTACCAAACTCAATTTTCTTAAAATCAATTATGTCTACCGTCAATCCAAACACACTAAATCTATTATGAATATTGCTAGAATGTTTTTTTTTAAATAACCACTTTTCAAAAAAAAACTCAAATAACCACATTTTTCAAAAAAAAATTACCAAAGTAACTACTTTTTAAACAAAAAAAATTGCCACTCAGAAGAGATGTCACTCTGTGTAGCGCATGCATGTAAAATAGAGAGGAGATGCCACATTGCATGGCTTGTCCTCATATGTAGTGTCATACAGTGTGGCGCATGCATGCAAATTTAAGGAGGATGTGTCACCTTGGGTGGCTTAACAGTTGTGTTTGGTTTTCTATAAATGCAACCACCTATTTTCACCATTTCTCACATCCCTCTTAGAAAATGTCTTTCACTCCCTTGCCAATGTTTTTCACTCCGTTGTCAAAGTTTTCACTGATCAAAAGAGATGTGCATGTTATTTTTCAGCGATAAAGCCTCCGATGAACATCAAACTCTAGAAGACGCGGGCATTCGAGTATTTTCAGAGACACTTGATTCGTTGGTTTGAAGGAGACATTCCTGAAGGTGAACAAATCATAAAAATAGAAAGACAAATTACAGTGAGGAACGAAAATGGAATAAGTCGATCATGGAAAAAGGTGAGATGCAACGCTGATGTCATGATAATGATGCTTGGACCAGACGATATTGTGTTGATGATTTTTATCTCTTAAATATTATGATGTGTTTAATTATTTTGTCTGTTTATCATGTTGTTGTGTTTTGCGTTGTTGTCATGAGTTTGTTGTGTTATAATTTTTTAATCTATTATATGAAGGTTGTTGTAATCAAATGTCAAATGTTATCATATGTGTTTATCTGCTAGTCGTATCTAATCCAATACTTTCAGTTCATAGGTTCTTAGGTTCTATTTCTAAATCTATCTGATTCCTTTTTCGAAAAATATTTATTTTTGTCGCCTACTCTATGTCTATCTCAACCTCTATGCGTTGTTATTCCCTCTTGAAAATTGTTCCAAAACCACTTCATTTATTTACCTGTCTACCTACGGTTCTTTCTCCATCTTAAATCACCTTAAAAATATAAGTCTTCACGCCCTTTTACTTTAACGAAGCTGCATGCAAATTCCTCCATCTTTTCTTATCCAAACATTAAATGTTTAAGTTGTTTTTCATGCTCGCCTAACTCACTCTCTCATGTCTCTCATTTCTATTTATACCTTCCTCAATTCATTACACTTACGAAAGCGCTTTTTTGGCCTTTAAAAGCGCTTAAAAGCGCTTTCGTAGGTGGCGCTGTTATAGGTTTTAGCAGCGCTTTTTATTCAATGAAAAGCGCTTTCGTAGATCTACCTAATACAACACTTTTTCTAAAAAGCGCTCTCTTAAGTAGGCTTTTGGCAGCGCTTTTTTATGAAGAAGCGCTTTCATAGGTCTACCTAAGGCAGCGCTTTTTTCTGGAAAAGCGCTCTCATAAGTTTTCTTTTAGCAGCGCTTTTTTCTAGAAAAGCGTTGTCTTAGGTAGGCTTTTAGCAACGCTTTTTTCTGGAAAAGCACTTTCATAGGTGGTCTTTTAGCAGCGCTTTTGCCTGGAAAAGCGCTGTCATATATTTACCTTAGACAGCGCTTTTTGTGAAAAAGCGCTTTCATAGGTTATTAAGGTGAAGCTATTTCACCATTAAAGAACTAAAGAAAGGGATGAAGTAAAACAGAAAAGAAAAGGAGAAGAAATGTGCAGTAAAATTGATGACTGCTTATTGATTTACATGTGTACAAGACTTATCCATATATAGCATGAGTAAGCATATATCCACCAATCAAAAATAACTAACATACTAAAATAGCTAATGTAATTAAGAGCTAATCTTCAAATTACAAATAGCTAATCTTAACAGCCCCTCTCAAGCTAAGCATGGTGAATATTAATCATGCCAAGCTTGGAAATGAATTTGTTGAAAGTTGAGGTGGACAAGGCTTTGGTTAGGAAATCAGCCAGTTGATCATGAGTGGAAATTGGTAGAAGTCGTAATAAACCTTGCTGAAGTTTTTCACGGACAAGATGGCAATCGATCTCAAGATGCTTGGTACGTTCATGAAATACCGGATTGAGCGCAATATGCATTGCACTTTGGTTGTCACAGTACAGAACTGGAAGTTTGGTACAAGTGATGTGCAATTCCTTCATGAGGGCTATCAACCAAAGCAATTCACATGTAGCAAACGACAGTGCCCGGTACTCTGCTTCTGAAGAAGATCTAGAAATGGTATCTTGTTTCTTTGCACGCCATGATATAAGAGAGGTTCCAAGAAAGAAACAATAACCTGAGATTGACTTCCTTGAATCAATACATCCTGCCCAATCAGAATCTGAGAAGCCAAAGAGTTGTAATTCAGCATTCCTTCTAAACATAATTCCTCTACCAGGGCTATTCTTCAAGTAGCGAACGACTCTGCAAGCAGCATGGTAATGTGCCATTGTTGGATTGTGAAGAAACTGACTGAGTTGTTGAGTGGCATATGTAATATCTGGACGTGTTGTATTAAGGTATAGCAAGCGACCTATCAAACGTCTGTAAGCACCAATATCTTCAAAGACTTTTCCATTATCAGCATGTAGTTTAACAGATGGATCAAGAGGTGTAGGAGCTGGTTTAGATCCAAGCATACCAGATTCCTGCAAAAGATCAATACAGTATTTTCGTTGTGACAAAGAAATTCCTGCCTTTGAATGGGCAACCTCGAGGCCAAGAAAATACTTCAATACTCCTAGGTCCTTGATGCTAAAAGTGTTATCTAAGATGAGCTTGATGCGATCAAATTCAACCATAGAAGTGCCAGCTAAGATTATATCGTCAACATACACTAAGATAGCTGTAAAATGTTTATCAGATCTTAAGGTAAAGAGAGAGTAATCAGAAGTAGATTGAGTGTACCCTTGGTGCAGTAAGAGAGCAGTCAACTTTTCATACCATTTGCGACTCGCTTGCTTCAGGCCATATAAACTTTTCTGAAGTTTACACACTTGATTAAGTTTATGGCATGGAACACCTTCAGGAATGGTCATGTACACATCTTCTTTCAAGTCTCCATGTAGAAACGCGTTGTTGACATCCAGTTGATGTAAGAACCAATTATTAATAGCTGCAGTTGCTAGAAGGGTTCTGACAGTTGTAAGCTTTGCTACTGGTGAGAATGTGTCAAAGAAATCAACCCCTTCTATTTGATTGTAGCCCTTGGCCACAAGTCTAGCTTTATACCTCTCTATTGTTCCATCTGCTCTATGTTTTACCTTGAACACCCATTTGTTTCCAATTGGTTTGACATGTGGTGGCAAATCAACTATATTCCAAGTCCTGTTCTTGTCTAATGCATCTAATTCAGATTTCATAGCTTTGATCCAATGCTCAGACAAACATGCTTCTTTATAAGACTTTGGTTCATGGGTGAGAGTGATATTGGAAACAAAAGCACGATGAGATGCAGACAGAAAATGCAATGAATCATAATTTGAAATAGGATAAATAACTTTTGATGTACCTGATGATGACATGGCTGCAGATGCATCAGATGAATTGCACACATAATCTGAGAGATAATGAGGTGTCTGTTTGATTCTAACAGGTCTGGGCTGAATGTTGCAATTTTCAGGGTCTGATGCATTAGGGACTGGTTGAGTACTATGGTTCTCATCAGTATTTTCAGGGTCTGATGCATTAGGGACTGGTTGAGTACTATGGTTCTCATCAGTATTTTCAGTACCATGGTTCTCATCAGCATTTTCTACAATATTAGGGTCATTGGTGGGATGATATAATGTGTCATTAGTTATGGTATAGTGATGGTCATGATTTCCATCAGCAGACTGAATATTTTGAAATGGAACTTCCTTGTGCACATGATAATCCCAATTAATAGAATTGACATTTGAATAAGGGAATATATGTTCATGGTGTATGACATTTCTAGAGACAAGAATGGTATGACTGTTAATATCATAAAGTATCACACCCTTCATTCCATTCTTGTATCCAAGAAAAACACATTTTCTAGCTCTTGGCTCAAGTTTGGTTCTGTGGACATTTAATGTGGATGCAAAAGCTAAAGAGCCAAAAACTTTAAGACAATGCATATCAGGATGTTCATTATATAAAATGAAATGAGGAGAAAAATTACTTAAAACTGGAGTAGGAAGTTTATTGATAATAAAGGTGGCATGTAAGACAGCATATGACCAGAATTTTTTGGGGAGTTTTGACTGGAAAAGAAGAGCTCTTCCAACATTTAACAAATGTTGATGTTTCCTCTCCACTCTACCATTTTGCTGTGGAGATTCAACACAACTAGTTTGATGGATAATCCCCTTGGAAGCATAAAATTCAGGAATCTGAAACTCAGCACCATTATCAGTTCTGATTATTTTGACAGACATTTTATGTTGATTTTCTATGAGACTCACAAAATTTATGACATGCTGTCTAGCTTCAGACTTAGTTTTCATTAGGGTTATCCAGGTGAATCTGCTACAATCATCTACAGCAGTTAAAAAATAGGAATGACCATGCAAAGATTGAACAGCAAGAGGTCCCCAAATGTCAAAATGAATTAGATCATAAGGATGAGCAGCTCTATTATTACTGGCAGTATATGACAGTTTTCTTTGTCTAGCAAAATTACAAACATCACAAACATCTTGATGGTTAACTGTGATAAAAGGAAATTTGGAATGTAGGTACAAGAGTCTATTGTGTGATAAATGTCCTAATCTAAAATGCCATAGGGCCTTTTCAGGTAAAGTAACTGTGGTGGCTAAGGCAGATGTGAAAGCAGGTGAATGTGTTGGATGTGAAGCATTATCCCTTAGTGTTAGGTAGTACAAACCATCTTTTTGCTCAGCAGAACCAGTCATCTTCAAGGTGACTTTGTCCTGTATAATACATTGTGAATTGAGAAATCTGATAGTGTAATTAGATGCTTCACAAAGCTTGGAAACTGATAAAAGGTTTAGAGAAAATTCAGAGACCAAAAGAACATTATGTATAATAAAATCAGCAGAAAAATGAATGGTACCTGCATGATTTGCAACAAGACACTGACCATTTGGCAATCTAACATTGATAGGAATAATTTTCTTATATGAATGAAACCATTTTATAGAACAACAAATATGATCAGAAGCTCCTGAATCAATGATCCAAGAACCAAGACTACTACTATGCATGCAATGTGATATGTTACCTGTTGATAAATGACCAACAGCAACTTGATTGGAAGAAGCATGTCCTGAGGATTGGCCAATGCTGGATTTCTGAATTAGCTCCATTAAGGTATTGAATTGGGCTTGAGTTATAGGTGAAGTGTCACTTTTGATGTCAGCACCATGAGAAAGGGATCCATCATCATTGCCTTCTGATGTAACATTATTAGTTGAATTCTGAAACTGCCTCTGCATATGGGGTGGTACACCATGCTTCTTGAAGCAGTTATCAACAGTGTGATTGGTTTTTCCACAAAAGGTACATACACGAGCTCCATGTTTAAAAGAATTGTTTCTTGCACCAAATTTCTTAGAATCAGCAGCATTGATCAAGGACTGGGACTCATCATTGGAAACAGAAGAAGCAGGGAACTGAAATTGGCGCTCATGTTGAATAACCATAGAGAATATCTTGTTCATGTTTGGCAAAGGATCCATTAACAAGATTTGAGACTTGACTACAGCAAATTGCTCATTCAAACCAGTCAAAAACCTGATAACTTGCATCAATTGGTGATTAGATCTTGCACTACGCATAGCCTCACAACAACATTGAATGCGACAAGTGCAAGTAGGTAAAGGCAAATACAAATCTAGCTCTTCCCAAAGAATTTTAAGTTCAGAAAAGAAATCAGTTACCGATTTGGATTCTTGCTTGAGGTTGTAGATTTCTTGCTGCAACTCCGAGATGCGAATGAGATCACCCTGAGAAAATCTTTCTTTTAAATCTTTCCATACATCAATCGCATTTTCCATAAAGACGATGGACTGAGAAATTGAATCTGAAACTGAGTTCATAATCCAAGAATGAACCAACATGTTGCAGCGATTCCACGCACGCATAGATGGATCAAAAGAATCAACAGGAGCGGGAAGAGAACCGTCAATGAACTCAATTTTCATTTTTCCACCGAGTGCCCTCTTCATACTGCGAGCCCATGAATGATAATTGGAACCAGTAAGCTTCGGAAGAACAGTAACAGAACCAGGGCCATCGCTTGGATGAACGAAGTAAGGTGAAGTTTGATCCAAAGATGGATCAAGAGGTGGGGTTCGAGGAGCCATGGATACAGGGGAAAGAGAAAGCTTCAATTGAAGGACAGCGGAAGGAGGATCGAATTGGCGAATGATACCATATTAAGGTGAAGCTATTTCACCATTAAAGAACTAAAGAAAGGGATGAAGTAAAACAGAAAAGAAAAGGAGAAGAAATGTGCAGTAAAATTGATGACTGCTTATTGATTTACATGTGTACAAGACTTATCCATATATAGCATGAGTAAGCATATATCCACCAATCAAAAATAACTAACATACTAAAATAGCTAATGTAATTAAGAGCTAATCTTCAAATTACAAATAGCTAATCTTAACATAGGTTACCTAAGGCAGCGTTTTTCTTGAAAAAATGCTTTCATAGGGTGTTTTTTTTAGAGGTATAATTTATATAATTCATATACCTGCATTGTTTGCAGCATATTATTTGTATAAACCAGTTGCCATAACCTGTAATTCATAAACCGCGATAATGCATTGTATACCATTGTAATCCAAATATATATATATATATATATATATATATATATATATATATATATATATATATATATATATATATATATATATATATACAATTTTTGTACCTCAAAATATATAAAAACCATTGTTATCAGCATTGTAACTCAAAATCAGTCTTACAAAATCAACTCTAACAACAACTAAACCAGTCCTAATGTATGAAAGAAACACGATCAATTATGTATTAAGGTCCTGGTCCTGCGAGGTTTGAACATAATAACACGGTCAATATGGTATTCCATGTACACATGTAACGTATTCATAACACTTTTCACATAATAATGTATTCATACATTATATGATTCTCTGCTCAATAAAATATTGACACAATTCCTCTTTGATTTCTTTCAACTGAAGTTTCGTGTAATATGCACATTTGTATTCATTGAAGTACTACATAACAAAACATAATATGCATGATTTAGTTAAAAGTAAAAAATTATATGAAATATCCGAGAAATAATAAAACAAATCCTAAGTTATAAATCCATACCGTGACTGGAATCTTTATTTGATTCAGTTGAAGGATTTCTTTGATAAACCGCATAACGAAGTATCCGCAATCTATACTATTTTGTTGTTGAGGACACTACATAGAAAAACAAATAAGAATATATAGTTGTATTGTTTTATCAAATAGCATAAATATTATAAGCAAAATAGTGGAAATTAATATACTTGTACTTTGATCCAATTAATGTTGTTTGATTTAGACCGTCGTACCCGAGCTTCTCTTTGACACCGGAATACTTGTATCGCTCTAACAAAATAAAAATATATATTTAGAACAATGTCACAAAAATGATTAAATATATAAATACACACAAATATTTAGAATAATCTCACTTACGTATCAATCATTAACTTCATATCCGGATAATTTGTGCAATCACCGTCAACCGGATAATAGACCACTTCTTTTATAGAATCGATAGCAACCAACAACCAGTGACGTCTATAAATTAAAACAACAGTTTAAAAGAAAAATTTCTACGCAAAAATTACAAATATTAAAATGAACTTAGAATGAAAATCTAACCTTGTAGGAATAGTATTATACGCCCAAAGATATAAGCTTTCTGTACTGCCAGTTGCCATGAATCTTTCGACTAAGTGCTCTCTTACTGAATCTGGTTTCCTACCAATTGTTGCTCCGCTGACACGGGAGGAAGACACGAAATGGAATCTGTTTGACAATTGATTCCCGCGTATCAATTTGTCATATAACAACCTTAAATAAAAACATAATTAATATTAGACTATATTCATTGAAATGTTTTAAAAAAAAATTAGCTAATTACATAATATAAAGATGGGGTTACCGGATGTATGCGTGCATAATATTGACGCCTAATTCTTTATGATGGAAAATCTCTTCCACGTCCTCATGTACAATTATTTCGGTGCAAGGAAAACCAAAGATACCTTGATCCATATCCATTTGACGAATACCACCATCCATCAAATCTGTTGTTCCCACTATTGTTTCAAGACACTGCCGGTATCGAGGGAAAAATCTAGTAGGAACCCTTTTCTTGGGTGGTACGCCAACGATTTTCTGGCTCACTTGTTGTGACCCTTGAAAAGGTACCTAAAAATCATATAGACTCAGTTAAATTATAAAATTATGTAGTTTTTTATTCGGATCATATAATTAACACTTTAAACGTACCTCTTTTTGTGATACATCAGACTCGTCGTGCTGCAAAATCCCTTTACCCTTAGATGCGGGTTTTGTAGGAGTCTATAATTACCATGGAAATAACTGAGGTCAGAATTGACAGTTGAAGACTTAAAGATTCATAATGGTTTTCAACATACCTGATCATCTATGAAAATGAGATCCGATGGCCATGCAACAAAAGATCCTATTACATCTCGCAGCAATGTGGTCTCAGCAACAATGTCAGGTACCGGCAGCAACACATCCATATCTAAAGCAATATCAACCGATACTTTCATGTGTCCATCCAGAAGCGGTATATGGTGAAGTAAATCTCCCAAAGTGTTATGGACTTTTCCCTTGCCAACTAGTCGATAAGTCGGCGACGATAGGTATAGCTGTCAAGATGAAATGCCCTAAACCAATAATAATCGTTAGACGTGACTACAAATATTCTATAATAAAAACGGATATATATTGAAAATTACCTCGGGAAATTTATGCTGACAGTTGATACTAGCTTTGTCACTAGTTTCTTTCAACTGTGAACTGCTCTTTTCTGCCATATATCTCTCTTTATCCTTCTACAATTCATGGACTTGAGCTTGTAAATCCTGCAATGTTTGCATCACTTCTGCATTGCTAGGATTTCTTCTCCTTGGATGCTTATACAAAGAGGTTGGAGTCACACCATGACCTTTACCCCTCACCCGACCCGGATACTCAGCAATATTTAGTGCTCGACTAAGTACACTCCTGGTATCCTGATCCTCACCTGGGGATACTGATTGCGACAAGGTCTCCTGTAATTCATTTACATATCGAAAATTATTAGTGGGGATAAAAAATTATTTAAATATTAATAAGCATTTGATTTAATTAAAGGCACAATCTTATACTTACATATTCATCATACACATGTTGAAGATCGGGATTAACAACTTGATCCTTGCCCACACGAGCTTCCTTCCACAACAAATGTGTTGGTAGTGATGTTGCGTCACTTTTCGTCTCTTCTAACTACACATTGACACAAGTCTTAAGATCATCAATTATAACACATTGATAGGATTAATAAGATCGTAGAGTTTATATTTACTTACAATTTTTTCCTCTAAGCAAGCATATCCCAAACGCCCTTTTTTGTATGGATATGCGGGTTTTGATGCTCTCTCGCGATTGATGGCACTCACTTTCTTGAAATTCTTGTCTCTTCTTTGGCCTACAAAACCAACCCATTCTTTAGGTGTAATGAAGTTCTCATATTTCTTTGGACGTTCCGGATCCTCTTCAAGAAAATTTCCTTCATCATCTTTAAGATACTTGTTTGTTAAAAATGTTCTCCACCCTCTGTGTCTTTTTCCAGCCAAACCCATTATATACTTTTTACGGGTATCTTCAATGTTAAAAGACCTCTACAAAAAAACATACGCATAAAGTGTGTTAGTAAAAGCAATTTAAACACATATTATCGTCAAGATAAAGCAAATAACAAAAACCATATATATATATATATATACCTTTATCTCAGTCCAAACTTTCTCTTTACCCTCATCCAACTCTCCTCTTTTTCATCTATGAGTGGTGATCGGAATGTGTATACGAACAAGCGTACCAATGTAGCTTGTCAACTTTGCAGCATTAGACCCAATTAGTTGGTCATTATCATTCCAATCTACATTATATGTTACTCCTCTATCTCTATCACGAATGATTCCCCTCATAATAGTTATACCTCGTGTAATATCTTTTTCTGAAGTCTTTTCTGAAGTATTTTCTGGA